TCTATGTCTTTGCCGTGACTTAGGGATTGTAGCCCCTATCTGGAGAGCTGAAGGTTTTCACTGCTTTTTATATCACATAAATTTAAAAGGTTTCATCTCCTAGGCTAAAGGTCAGCCAGGCAGGGATTTATTTACTGAGGTTACGAGCACTTCTGAGAAGCTGGTGGAAGGGAAAAGGCCCGCCCTGGCCCCAGACCGTCACATGTACGCCCCCCACATGGTGCCCACTGTACCAAGGAGCAAGGAGCCCAGCACCATGCACAACACCCCTGGGTGGACTGCACAGAGCCACTGGGTCAAGGTTGGGATCCAGAATGTCCCCTGAAAGCCTCACTATGTGCAAGGCTTGGTTGCCAACTCACAGGCTTTGGGAAGGGGTTTAATCATGAGGATTCCAACACCATGAAGTGGATTAATCCGTGGATGACTTTGTTAGCCACATGGGCTTATTAGGAGGCAGGGCCAAACGTAATGAAGCAGGTGACTGGGGGGCTGGCTTTGAAGGGCAGATTTTGTCTCCAATGCCTCCTCTTGGGCTCTCTTTCTGTCTCCCTCCACTGTGAGGCAAGTAGCTCTCCTCTGTCACACCTTCCCTCCAGCATGTTCTGCCTCACCAGAGACCCAGAAAGAAGGAGCCAGTCTGCCATGGACTGAACCCTCTGAAACTGTGAGACAAGATAAACTTTTCCTTCTCCAAGTTGTTATCCTCAGGTATTGTGTCACAGAGGCAGAGAGGTGACTGACTCACATTGCTGCAGGACAGTCCAGAGGAAGTGAGGTAGGACATCTGTCTGTTCATCCCTCTGCCTGTACTCCACTGGATACCAATGACACTGAGCTTCCTTGAGAGCCAGGAAGGAAGTCTTAGCTCCAGGGTCCAGCTACAAGGGCCTGGCTGAACCCAGCTACACCCACAGGAAAGCAAGACATGGGCAGAACAGCAGAGGTAAAGACGCAGCAGCCAGGATTTTCAGGTGGCAGCATGACCAGAAATCGTAGGCCACTCTGTCTAGGAAATGCCAGGGGTCCAGCGCTGAGGCATCAAGCAGGACCCCAAGGATTAAGAGGCACAGAACCTTAGCAGATCAGCAAACTCAGGCTCAGCCCAGGTGGCTCCAGTGTCTGAGGAGCCTCACCCCTTTGGTGAAGAAAGAGAGCCGCTGCCTATGGTGGTGACACATGCTGTCCAGGCAGAGGACCCTCCACTCTGGGGCCCTTCAGGGGGATGAATTGCACAGCTCAAGGCGGAGGGTGGGGGAAAGGAGAGAGAGGCCAGGTCTCCAAGCAAGGTCACTACGGCACCAAGGCAGAATACCCCACCCACTGCTGGGGCTGGGCAGGAGGCTGTGGGCCCATTGTGTCCAGGGCCGGCACTGGCAGGGCTGCCGGTCAGACACCCACTGTGGAGGTCCATGGGGTATAACGGGGGTCTCTATTACTTCCACTGTTAAAAATAATCAACCGCCCACTTGCCTGCTTTTTTTGTTTTGTTTTGTTTTGGTTTGGTTTTTGGTTTTTGGTTTTTTTTCCGGCACCGGGAACCAAACTCACGATCTCACGCTTGCCAGGCAGGCGCTGTGCTGCTGAGCTAAACCCCCAGCCCCCAGCTTACCTGTTTTAACTGTGCCATGTCTCAGCATCTCACCTTAAGTAGAAGGCTTCAAAATACTGAGACTGTTACACTTTCCAGAAGAATATGTTTTAATTCACACAAAATGCACAGCCACCCATGAATGATATCACCCATCACATAGTGAGTATCGCTGACACTTAAGTCACTGTCTGTGCGCTTCTGTCTGGAAAAGAACTCCCCCCATAGGTGTACAGAAGCCCACACACGCGCACACGCGCACTCACCTTGCTTCGATAAATGGAATCTCGCAGTACAGATGAGACTCCGACACCTCTGAACTCAGGCCAGCTTTCTGACTCTAGATCCCATTGTCCCATCAGCCACTTTGAGTTTTTTGACCCCTTTGTCGTAACAAGTGTGTACAAAATTAGGAGAAAGAAATCACCACTTCCGACCACTTTCCCTTTTTGTGCTGATTTCTGGTCAGGGCCACAACACTATGTCCTACCTTGAGACAGGTTTGATTGGTAGTTATCAGGGTGCCTTGGGAAGTGGGGAAGACAAGGTGCTTGGCAGGTCCGGCGGAACGCTGCCTGGCCTGCTTTCTGGAGGACTGTCATTTTTCATAGCCTGATGAGCTGCCTCGCCGGCCCCTTCTTGCTCCAGAAACTTCATCACAATTGACAGGTCTTCATTGCCTCGGCCCAGAAGCTGCACCCCACGGCATCCCTCGGAGGTGAACCTGCACTAATTGATTATGTCATTCCGAAGAGGCAGAAAGCACATCTGCAGGGGCCGGGCTGCTCTTTTTGTGTTAATGAAGCAGGAGTAGCCTCCATGTTTGTCTGTGTCTGTCTGCAAAGTGACAGTGATATATCTCGGGCTGAAAGCAAGTTCAGGGGCCTCCTGGAGAAGCACGTGAATCTCCCCACCCTTTGTGACAGACGCCGAAGTCCCCGCACGCCCCTCACTGTGGTGCCGCCCAAGGAAACCTTCCCCACTGCCTGCTGCCAAAAACTGGGAGTCTGATTCCCTGAAAGCCTCCTGTCTTTGCTTATTCCCAAATTCAGTCAAGGACACATACTGAAACATACACGCACACACCAATGCATCTTTTCCATTAAACCAAGTGTCTTGTTTCCTGCTTTTCTTGAATAAACTAGATAATGAAAATCACAACCTAATCCAGCTCTTTCCATGTAGAGATTAAATTAACTAAGATCCCAGGGCACTTTGAAACTTTCCCTTCAACAAAATGACACAATCCTCCATCACCAGGCACCTTCTTTCACAGAAAAATGAAGAGCAGGTAGCTTGTTCTAAAATCTTTCTTGAGACCACAAATTTTAATATTTCTTGTGGTTCTGATACACACCTGGGAGCCAGCGGGTATCTTCCCAAACTAAAGTCAGCTGCACTTCATTGATATTTCAAAGCCACACAGAGCTTACCAACATTTCTGCACATTTAAAAGCATTTTAAAGAATTTTCTGAAATAATGTATGTACCAGAGTTGCTGCTTATAGTAATTCCCAAAATGTTGATTCTGATGAATTAAAATTATAACTGCTGGTTACTTAATATGGCACCTAAAACTCTGATATTTCTTCTGTTGTTTTTTGTCCTTTCAAAACTGTTTCCCCTTCTTCTCTTTAATGTAATACTTGTCATCTCTTTTGCATTTCATTAACTCTTGGGTTTTTGTCACTCTTATCTTTCCAAGATCTTTCCAAGATAAGAGTGACACAGACCAAGGGACATTTGTAAGTTCTCATCTTTTTTGACTTTTCTGGGATATTTCACATTGTTGATGTGTAATCCCAGCACTCTGAGAGACCGAGGCAAGAGGATCAGAAATTCAAACCTAGGCTGGGCAACCTAGTGACTTAGTGAGACCCTGTTGCAAAATAAAAAGTAAAAGAGGCTGGGGAGGTAGGTCAGTGTGAGGGCCCTGGGTTCAATCCCCAGGAACGCCAAGAAGGAAGCAGAGAAGTGGGGGCCTCTGTTACCTGTTCCACATTGTTGATTAATTCTCTTCCTCATCAAAGTCTTGTGAAATGCTGTTGTTATGGGGTAGATCTCATTGGGTCATCACTATCTGTCTACATATTACTCTTCTAGATTTTGGGCTGGACTGAGCCCTAGGACTGTAGAGTTGGCACACAGTGCTAAACTAACTGCAAATGGATGCACTAAATATGTAAATAAATCTATAACATTAAAAGAATGAAAACAGCAAAATTAGCTATAATATCCCCACCTAAGAGGGGTGGATTTGTTATTGTTGTTCGTGTTTTTCCCTCAACCTTTCAATGCTTTGTCCATAAGCACACATATTTTTAGAGGTTACTTGTAGCCCTCATGGTCATAAAGTTTTGTGTTCTGGGTTTTGCCCTTACACAGTGCTTTATTGCCATCCCTCCATGTTTATAACTGTACACATTCTATAGCCAAGCCGAGCCAGAACAGATTACATCTCACCAATGAGCTGGATGCCAAAGTTTAAGGACCTTAGAAAGCTACTTAACTCAAAAAGCGAACTTTCCCATTTGCCAGATGAACCTGGTCGTATTTGTTTATAATCTGCAAGCAAAGTATGTTGTACAAGGAGAAATTATTTCCAGTATCTTGCAGGCTTGAAGTGTGTTTCTGGGACAGAAATAACTCACCCGCCTCTGTCTCTTCCTCTGACGGCAGAGCAGTTACTGCTAATAACCTTGTTCTCCCAGTCAACGAGGCCAAAACACCGAACCTCTTTTGTGGTTTTAGAGTCATCAATTTTCTTCTTTTAGAAGTTTCCTTCCTTCCTTTCTCCTATCGTCTTGGCCCCAAAATGATCAAATTTCAGAACTAACAAGAAGCAAGGATTTATCCTTAATCCAGCTCTCATGTTTCAGCTGTAGAGAGAGAGTTAGGAAAACAGGAGGCAACTTACAAGTCTGTACCTCCACAGGGTCTCCATGCCCCTTCTAGAATGATCCATTTCTGAGAGAATTGTGGACGCAAACTAAAGCCCAAACATCAGGTAGTTTGCTGATGGCTTTTCAGACACTAGCAAGAATGAATAAGAAAAATAACCCTCAAGAAAGTGATGCAGTTCCACTCATTGTCATGGTGATATGATGTCCATATGACTCCTCACACTTAGACAGCATGAACCACGGGGAAGTCATGAGGAAGCCCATATGAACAGAAGATACTTCCGTGTTTCTTTATTATGACAATGCATCCAGGGCCAAAGAGGCAAAGACATTTTGTGATGTCCCTATTTTGAATATTGTTAACATGTTCCCGAACTTGTTTTTGGAAATGTACATTATCTTGTTATATTCATTATAGCTTTTTGTTGCACAAATAACCACTGCTGCATCCCCGGTTATTCTCTATTTTGTATTTATTTATGATTTTCTTTTATGACAACATCAAAATGCAAACAATGCACTCCACAAAAATCTCACAACAGTGGCTTTCCCCATGGAATCACATTCATTCACTAGAAGCCCACTGTTAATAGCCCTGTCCACTGGTGATACCTGTTACCAGAAAGATATGTATTTATTTAAGTATAAAACTCAAGTCCACAGCTTGATAATTTCTACTTATTTCCTCATTAGATCATTTAACATAGCCACATACAAAAAAAGATCTAAAAATTTCTAGAAAACGAGAATAGCCTCCATGTTCTGTTTTGGGTAACATTTCAAACTTCAGTAATATGGGCACTTGCTCTGTCCGTAAAATCTACCAGACAAATACAAATCAATTTTCCTGTGTCATGGAAAAGCATCAGTGGGCCTTGATGTTTTCTCTAGGTTTATTTCCACTATCTGTAGCTACTTTTCCTTCTCTACGACTAAATATGTGGCTGACTGTCCTCATCATAGGAATTAAATGAAAGCATTTGGCCCAAAATAGTACATTTGAACCATCCCAGCCCTGAACCTTGGTGGAAGGAAGGTAAAATCTGTCCATACCCTAATCCCCTGTAAACATGTTTCCTTCCATTCCAGAAGGGACTTTTCAGATGTCGTTAGGTCCTTAGGTTAAGGATTTTGAGGTGGAAGCATCTTTTGATGGAGCAATGCAATGATTAAAGAATCAGGACAGGATAGATGGGAGACAGCAAAGACCAGATCATGCCACGTTGCTGGCTTTGATGATGGAGGAGGAGACCACAAGCCATGGAATGCAGACTGTCTCAAGGAGGGGACAAAGGCACAGGAATAGATTCTCCCTTGGAGCATCTGAAATCACCTCAGCCCTTGTCTGGGGGTCTTGTGTGCCGCTGTTAGACCCCTATCGGACTTCCACCCCCCAGAACTGTATGATCATGAGCTTGAGGGCATTTTATTCCTCTGGCTTTGTGGTGATTTGTTATAGCAGCAACAACGAGTGAATACAAGATCTCACTGAGAATCCTTCCATCAGGGAGGACATGTTTATAGTCATAAAGTGCAGGCACAAATGCTGCATAGATTTTGTGAGAAGGGAGATGATCATTATTTTCTCAGTCCATAAAGTAAGATGGATTTTTTTTTAAAGTGGCTTGAGCTTCCATTCTATAAATCCAGAAAAGGCCTTCAACTGCATTGTGGGTGTCAGGGGGCCAGGGCCAAGGGACAAGCAGGGCAGGGGTCAGTAGACGCACCCTGTTGTGTGCAGCTTTACAGGTTTTGCTGATAGCTTGGACATCTGGAGCCCTTTGAGAACTCCGTTCTCCAGGTCTTTTTATTAAATTTCATTGTGTATATTAAGGATTACATCGTGATGTTAAAGGATAAAAAGAGGGACATGGTTACTATGGTGAAGTCGATAACAGGTCTGTCACTTCATACGGTTACTTATTTGAGACAAAAGCAACCAAAATGCACTTTCTTAACAAAAATTCCCAACACGATGCAATTTTGATGGTTTTAACCCCTGTACATTTCTTGATATAATTTCTTGAATTTTTTATTAATGCCTATTAATTACCTAGAACGATATCCTCACTGTGACAGCTCCATGCACGCATGTCACACACCTGGATCTAACCTCCTCCCCAGCAGCCCTCAGTTAACAAAATGAAAAGTCAGCAGGGTCCCTGGAGAGGCCAGACTGCAGGCCGCTCCCCTCCCCCTGCCGACGCTGTGTCCTGTCACCAGCCTCTGGGTCGCGTAGGCGCCTCCCGGAGCTGCAGGCGGTAGGAGCTGGGCAGGAATCCGACCGTCATTAAGCAGCCAGTTCGGAGAACACACTGACACCGTGGGTGGGTTGCTGCTCATTGGGGGAAAATGTCTTCATCGTTTGGACACCTGAACAGATAACTAAAAATAGATCCTCCAGGATTCTTTAGAAACAAAAAATAAAACACACAAAGCAGACTCAAATCTCTCCTGAGACTGTAACAGCTTGAGAAAAAAGGAAAAAAGGGTACAGAACAAATGTCTCTCTTTCTCTTACTAACATGTATGAATTGTACATATTATGTGGCTCAGTGTGATATTTTAGCCCACTCATACAGCATGCACTGATCAGATCAGGATAGTTAATATCCCTCCTTATCATTTCTCTGTGTGTGAGACTTCAAGCTCCTTTCTCCTAGAACTTCATAAAATATGCAGTAAGTCACAGTGCCCCAGCGTCATCCCCTTTGCTGCCCAACGCCAGCACTTACCCTTTCCATCTAATTGTGTTTGGGCTCACACCGCTCACAAGAGCCAAGGTATGGAATCCACCGCTGTGCCTTTCAGTAGATGAATAGACGAGGAAAAGGTGGTCCCCACGCAGTGCAGCAGTACCCACCACAGAGACCAAACCTGGACAGAAAAACTGAGGAAGGAGAGTGTATTTCCATGGACCCTTGGGGAGACCCCACAACTGCAGGAGCTCAAGGGCAAAGCAGCCCAGGCAAAGCATCCAGCTCTGCTGCCAAAGCTGTACGGCCACTCTGGAATCCAGCACACACCCAGCAATGCCCTGGGCTTTGAGGGCCTACACTTCTCCCTTAACCAGCCTTCCCCTGTCTCCTACATATGGGCTTGCACACATATGCACAAGCAAATTTGTTTCTTTCCACTTCAGTCTTTAAAATGACTTCTGTTGGGATAGGAGACATTTTGAAATTAGTTTTTTGTTGGACCCTCAAGATCTGCATGTATGAGATAGGACTGAAAAATATGGTGAATATTTATACATTTTTTTAACATTACAATAAAAGACATATTGCCATTGATCTCCCTCACAATACCCTCCTTTCTTTGAGCACATTTATCCCATCTTCTTGCACTTTGTGAAGCCCCTCTGGATGCCCTGTTTTGTGAGTGGCTTTGGTTGCACTGTCACGGCTGCCTCAAACTCCTGAATCGATGCAAAACGTTTCCCTTTCATGGTCATTTTAGCTTTGGGGAAGAGCAAAAAGCCACACAATGCCAGCTCTGGTGAATAAGGTGGAATAGGACACAGTGTCATGTTTTTACAAACCTGCCTTTCCATTAGATGGTGCTCGGCAGCAGCATTCACTGTGTTTTTGATCACACCTCAAAAAGACACTCAAGAAAGAGTACTCCAGAACTGCTTCGTCAAGTGGCAAGAACCATGGGATAAGTGTGCTCCAAGGAAGGGGAGTACGAGGGGGGTTAATAACAATGTGACTTTTACTGTAATGAATTGTTTAAATGCATAGAAAGAAACAGAGGTCACCAGGGGGAGGCTGGAAACAACCTTCCCTCTGTAATCAAGCCATCAATTTTTCATATAAAAGCACAGAAGATTCCTGCCTCCACTGTATCCACCCCTTCCAGAAATTGCTCTGGCATTTAGAAAAGCCTTATGTTCACAAGTATGCAATTTTGAAAGGATATTACTTTTTTCCACTTGAGGGCTTTATTGAGATACAATGCACACACATACAATATACCCACTATATGTACACAACACAGTGGTCTTCAATACAATCACAGTTGTGCAACCACCATCATCAGTTTTAAAAGATTTTTTACCCCAAAATTATCATGCCTGTTTCTAGTCATGCTCTATCTCCCTGTTGCCTTCCTGCCAGCCCTCAAAACTCCTACTTCCCATCTGCATAGATTTGCCAACTCAGGCATACCTTGTATGTAGTGCTTTGTGACTGGCTGTATTTATTTAACATTGCTTTCAAGGCTAATCCACACTGTAGCATGTGTCTCTACCTCATTGTTTTGAGGGCTAAATGCTATTCTTTTGTATGGACATACCACATTGTATTTATCTACACATCAGTTGATGGACATTTGGATTATTTCTACCTTCTGACTATTATGATTAATGCTGCCATGAACTTATAGGTACAAGTTTTATGTAAGCATTTTTTTTTCAATTCTCCTGAGTATATAGCTACAAGTAAAGTGTTTACTTGTTGAGGAACTGCCAAATTATTTCCAAAGTGTTGTGTCTTTTTCTCTTCCCACCAGATGTATAAAAGAGTTTCAATTTCTCTACACCCAGCTGATGTTTCTGCGTCTGTCTTTTGTATACTAGTCACACATCAAAAAATATAAAGTCATATAAAAATTTATAAAGTGGTCTCTCACTTTGGTTTCGACCTGCATGTCTACTATAGGTACTGATGTTGAGTGACTTTTCATACATTAATCAGTTGCTTCTATATCTTCTTTGAAGAAGTATCTGTTAATATCTTTCACCCAGTTTTGGTTGGGATTTTTTTATTATTGAGTTTTATGAGTTCTTTGTAGAGCCCCAAGTATAAGTCCTTTATCAGAGGTGAGGTTTGCCGCTATTTCGTGTATTGTATTTTGTGTATCGTCTTTTGATTCTCTTTTGATGGTGCACTTTGAATCACAGATGTCTTGAATTTTTGGCAAGGTCCAGCTTGCCTGTGCTGCCTTTATTACTGGAACTTTATACTGTTTTGACACTGAGACATGTGGCTCCTCAGGCTTGGTTTTTCAAAACTGTTTTTGGTTTTCCTGGATCCCTTGCATTTCCATAGAGTTTTAGAATCTACTTTTCAGTTTCTATAAGACAGCAGCCTAGACTTTGAGAGGGCTGGTGTGGAGCCTAGACCAGTTTAAGGAGTGTTGCCTTCTTCACATTAAGCCCTCCAACTCACAAACAGGAGGTGTTGCTCCCGTTTTTGTAGATTTTCTTCATTTCTTTCAATAAATACAGTCTTAAGTATTTTACTGGTTTTCATGCTATCGTAAATGGAATTGTCTTAATTTCATTTGTGGATTTTTCTGTACAGATTTCAAACTGATTTTTCATGGGATGACCTTGAATCCTGCAACCTTCCTAAGCAAAATAACATCATTTTAAAATGGACATTAAAAGATACCATTTAAGAAATAAGAAGATTGTAGTAAAAGAGGTCAAATGTATTTAAAAAGAAACTTGATGTAAGTTTTAAAAGGAGAGAGGTTGCGTTCCCACTTAGAGGATAAGGGGCAGCCGTATGTGGAAGGTCTGCTGAGGGTCGTAGTTGTTTACTGCTGGCATAAAACAGTGATGATGCTTTTGTTCACTGAGATTGCAACTTATAGAATACTTAACACATCAGTTCTCTCTTGCTTCTTCTCACCCCAACACTTGTACTTGACACCAGCGCAGTTTCCACGTGCCCTTGGTTTGCTGGGGATGAGGCCACCCTATAATGTCATCATCGCTATACTCAGCAAGCAGAGAGGACAAGTCTGGCACACCTGGGTGAGCCATTGACCATGCTCTCTTCCGTCTGCAAAATACATCAGATCCTTCTAAAGGGATTCAGGGTCTCTGACCACCCACCTCCTGAGCTTGCCCGACTCACGTGCTGTAACGACCGGCCAAGTCCCTCCTTGCGTGACAAGTCAGTGCAGTTACCTTGTACCTAATGCTTCATACTTAACATCTTGTTGTAACCAGGCAGGTTAGCAAATGTCTGTAATCCCACCGGTCCCCTAGGAGGCTGAGGCAGGAGGACCATGAGTTTGAGCCCAAATTGGGCAACTTAGCAATTTGCCAGGACCTTGCCTCAAAATAAAAAATAAACAGGAGATATAGCTCAGTGCTAAAGCCCTGAGTACCAGAAAATAAAATAAAATAAAATAATTCTAAAACCATGGCACAAAGGTGAACGTTAATGGCCCTGAGGCACCCTTCATCTTCTGTCCTGCAACCCAAGCTGACTGTGGGGAAGAGCTTGGAGACACAGGATCTCCCGTAGGGGCTTCAGTGCATACACAAGGGTAACACAATAGGTGCCTGTGTCTCAGTCACAGCAAGGGATACCAGTGTGGATGTTGCCCTCAAAGGAGTAGTAGTAAAGTTGACCAAAGAAAAGATCTCAGTTTGGTGAACATAAAAAAATTTGAACAGCAAACACTGTTACATTTTTTAAATTTCTACCTAATGGTGTGTGATATGTAAATATAATTAAAATTGCAAAATGGCCTTTAAAAACACAGATACCCTTTGCTGCTCGGAGGCCCCCTTGTGGACACATATGCTGCAGACCTTCTTATCTAAGGCACCAACACAGACCCAAGGATAAACACCTGAAAGCTGTGAAGATGCCCATCAGTAGAAAAATATTAACTGAACTATGAAATATTTATCCCGTGACAAACTACGCAGCCATTAAAGATACTGAGGGTCTCTACATGAACTGATGTGAAAATATACAAGATAAATTATTTATTACAAATCCAAAATGTGGAGGTCCCATTTAACCCAGTCATCCCCCTTCTGGGTATTTTCCCAGAAGAATTAAAGACATCATACCACAGCAATATATGTGCACCCATGTTTATAGCGGCACAGTTTGTCGTAGCAAAATCTTGGAAACAACCCAAATGCCCATCAGCTGAGGAGTGAATAAAAAAGATGTGGTATTTTTATACAATGGAGTATTACTCAGCTACAAAGAAAGATAAACCTGAGACTTATTATAGGTAAATGGATGCAACCAGAGACCATACTCATAAGTGAAATAAATCAGACCTCATATGTAAACAGCATATTGTCTCCCTGGTGTAGGAAACTGAAAGCATAAATAAAATCTGAAAGGTACAACAGATATTGTGAAACGGCAAAAAAGAACAACTAGGATGAGGGAAAGGAGAAAAGAAAGGAAAAAGCAAAGGAAAAAATATATGTATATATACACAAGGATAGCTGGGATAATTGTAGTACTGATTTCTATTGGCTTATTGAAAGGAATAGTTAAAGTTTAATTGTTTGATCAATGTCACATACCTATATCCAGTAATCTGAGCAACTGCTTTGAAGATAACAATAAGTAATACAACAACCATTATTGATTTTCTGTCATCTTATTTTGAAATTCTGTATCATTTTTATACTTTTGTATTGTTTTGTTTTTGTCTTTGTTTTTGTTATTTTGTTTTTGTTCTTTTCTCTTCAAAAAAAAAAAAAAATCCAGAATGTGGGCTGGAGGTGCAGTTCAGTGGTGGAAGTGTAATTCAGTGGCAGAGTACTTCTGCCTAGCATGTGCACAAGGCCCTGGGTTCCATAAAAAAACAACAGATGAAATGAAAACCAAGCTTTGTGAACAGGAAGGGGAAAGGAGTCTGAAAAGAATGGATGGGAATGGAGGGGAAGAGGAATCAAGGTATACCATACAGATACAAATTCCCTGTAATGAATGTCGTCATTATATATACCTAAATTATACCAATAAACTGAAATTTAAAAACACAAATAAAAGATGAAAAAAAGCAATATATATCTTATACCTTTAAAAGTCATACACTAAAAATAAATATCTTTTAATATTGATACTAGTAGATGGATGTAAAATAGGAAACACACAGGAGGATTCCATGGTAGCCAGATGTGTAGTCTCCAAAGGTGTCCAGACCCTAACCCCGCACCCTGTGGATATGCTGTGCTATGTGGCAAAGACAATTAAAGATGCAGGCAGCATTAAGGTATGAATCAGCTGATCTTAAAGTAGACTAAGCTGGACACTGTGGCACATACCTGTAGTCCCAGCTACTTGGGAGGCTGAAATAAGAGTATCATTTAAAGACAGATGTTTGAGGCCAGCCTGAATGACAGGGTAAAACCCCACCCCCAACCTCAGCCCCACATAGGAAGATCATCCCAAATTACCTAGTTGGGCTCTGGGTACACACAGGGGCCTTCTAAGTGAGCCAGGAAGGCAGAAGAGTCGGTATCAGAGTCCAATAGCAGGATGGACCCAGCAGGCCATTACTGGCTGTGAGGAGGGAGGAAGGGCCCACAAGCCAAGGACTGCAGTCAATTCAGAAGCCAGAGGAGGCTGGGAAACAGACCCCCACCCGCACAGGCTCCAGAGAATACCACGTTGTCTACTCCTTGATTTTAGTCTCATGAGACAGTGAATCTCCAGTAACTCTCGGAGCATACATCTGTGTTGTTTTAATCCGCTGAGCCTGTGATAACTTATTATCCCCACACTAGGAAATGTACACAGATGTATAATACACTAGAATAAAGTTATCTCTAAAGAACTAGAATTGAGATGCAGAGAGAGGATACTTTTATGTTTCACGTGTTACAGCCACTCATGTTTTCTCTATCAGCATGTTTACCTTTTGCAATTTAAAAGATATTTTCAAACCTTTGAGTTGCCTAAAAAAGGAGTGGGAAGACAACTCTGAGGAGGGAAGTGGATCCTGATTATTTGAAGTCATCCTGGGAAGGATGCTAAGGGAAGAGTCAGTTTTCTTCCATTTGCATCATAGCCAGCTTCCCAGAGGAGTGACATTCAAGCTGGATCTTACAGAGAAGACAGAGTGCTGACTTGCAAAGATAATGGAGGAGATCAAAATTGGGAGAAACATGGACAAAGGGATGGGCCAGGCCCATTGGAGGACAATCAGCTGTCACCATGACATCCAGCCTGAGCAAGTGCTCAGGTCGGGTCCCAGGGGCTTCCTGTGGGTTGGGGCTTGATTTGGTAGGTGATAGAAACCAGGAAGGTTTTCGACCCAGATGAGGTAGGGACTGCTTGCTTTGCTTTGTAAGACTGGTCCTCTGGTACAAATACAGAGCAGGACACATTGCCATGGATCCCCCTCAACATCCACCCCTCACTCGGAACACACTCATCCCGTGGTTCTGCCGCTTTCTGCAGCAGCTCTGGAGTCCTCTTTCCCGAGAGGCTATAGTTCTGCTGTCCTGGACGCATCGATGTCCTGAATGGATCCAAAACATCTCCCTCTCATGGTGCCGGATCCAGCGACTAAGGGGGATGAGGGTGCAGTCAGGATTTTAGCGCTGCCCTTCCATTGGATGGCACTTGACAGTGGCAATCACTGCATATTCACCACAGCTCATGAAGACTTAGGAAAGAACTTCCAGAACGGCTTCAGAAAGTGGCAAGAACGATGGAATAGGACAACAGACGAAGTGTTTGAGGTGAGAATTCTGAGGGGGATTCATATGAAATATTTTTTAAGTTTAAACACTGTAGTCCTGACCACCCCTCGCACTGGCTTAAAATGCCCCTGATGTCACATGGGCAGCGGGACAACAGTGGCCTGGGTGAGGCTGTAGAGAGAGCATCCAAGGCCACATCCCATGTCCCTAGGACAGGAACCCCTTCCGCCCTCCCACCGTCGCTCTGCTCAGCAGTTCCGTCCCTGTCTGCTCTCCCAGTGCACTGATCCTGACTTACCAATCTTTTCTTCTCCTTTCCCACATCCATGCTCAGCCTTTCTGGTTCACGGAGTGCTGGGCTCGGAGGTCTCCCGCAATGGCGCGGGTGGGGGATGTCATCGTCTGTCCCAGTGCCTGCGCATGCAGGGCGCCCCCGTCCCTGTTCGGGAGCATTTTCCGGAGAGCTTCAGCTGCCCCGAGAAACCTGAGCTTGCACCCACACCACCAAGAAACCTGCCTGTGTTGCTCACCTGCAATCTTCCGTCCGAAGTCTTTTCTTCCCTACATCTGCTAAAACGAGAGGCACGAGCTGCTTTTTATGCACGCTGTAAAAGATATTTAGCGCCAGGCGCTGATGTGCACAATTAAATTTTATCTTACAGATACAAGGCCTTTAAACAGGAATGCTTGAGGAGTAAGTCTCGGTGACAGTAGTAAGAAGGGAGGGGCTGACGAAAAGCAAAGACAAGAACAGACGTGAGAAGCTGCTTCCTTTGGGAGGATCCCCTCCACCTGGGCACCGCAACACATGCGCACAGCCATGTCCCCCACCCATCCCAGAAGGTGGCAGCCCCGCCCAGGCCTCTTGAATTCCATCTGTTACTTCTGGTTGCCCTTGCTCCTTAGTAGCCAGGGAGCCAGGGACCACTTGTCACTGGTTTGATTGTTTCACTGTGCAGAAAGAAGCAGTATTTAACAGTATCCAAATGCAACACCTCTTTCTAACCAGATCTTGCCGAACTATTCAAACTCACTACTCCTGTGGAGCACCTTTTGGAATCAAAACACTCTTCTTTCTGTCTGTCTAAAACATACCTGGAATGACATGGACATCCTTTTTGCTTTTTTCAAGAGGAGATGATTAGCACAAGGTTGTATGGAAAAAGTCAAGTAAAAGGACTGAGAATTTCTTTGCTTATTTCAGTACTGAATAATAATTAATGAGACACTGAGAAACCTATTTTGAGGCCAGGCTTGGTGCCGTATGCCTGTAATCCCAGGACTCTGGAGGCTGAGGCAGGAGGATCATTGCAAGTTCGAGACCAACCTGGGCTACAAAGTGAGCTCAAGGCCAGCCTGAACTGCATAGCGAGACCCTGTCCCAAAAAGACCAAAACAAAAAAAAAAAGAAAAGAAATAAAAGAAACCTATTTTAAGGCATAAACTTGTAGAATCTACCACTCCTATCTCCTCAGTCACAAGCAATCCTCCTCCACCACCTTCAATTTTAAAACAATATACATTTTTCTCTTTTGATTTCAATGTGTCTCCTTTGACTGGTTCCCAGAATCAGTCACTTTGGATCACACGGGATGCTGTTGAAATGGCCCCTCCCTGTTGGGGACATGTTTCATCATAGATGGAGTTCCTGGTCACCAGCAAATGTATCCGAGTTTCCCTCTGAACAAATTTCCGTCCAAGTCCCTTCCCTCACCTGCCAAAATCACCAACCACATTTATGAATGGATATCTAAGTGGGAAACTTGAACACTCTTTGAAAACACAAGTTTTCTTCTATGTCTAGGGCCTTGAAGATTGTTTTTTAAACACATATATACATTTTTCCAAGACTCTCTTGGAATTAGATTTTGAAATGACAACCGGGCAAGAGTTCCATAATTTCCCCTTTATCACCCTAAGGGTTCGAGAAATAGTGTGAGGTCCCCAAAGGGAGGCGGAGAGTGCCCAGAGGAAGTGTCTCCCCATTTCAGTTCTGCCTGAGACTAGCGTGGCCCCCAGCATGGCCATGGACCTGGACGAGAAAGCCAAGACCCAGGTCCGTGTGAGCTTGTCCCTTTCGGGGCCTGTCTCTTGCATCTGGGTTGAGGCCAGTTTAGCATGAGACATAAGCACATAGGAAAGGCTGTTCACTTCCTAAAGATGCATTTCGCTAGGATTCTATAAGCACTGATATCCCCCTCTTGGTATTTGGAAACGATTTTCTATGGATGGTAGCAAGCTCCTGGGGACCTTTCACAGCCAAAATCAATGTTTGCTTTCAAGTTAGCCACGTGGTCTCATTTAGATTTCTGGGGACTTCCACTGCTCTTCCAAACACTATTTCATGCCCAGCCACACTCTGCAGCTTAGAGCCGATGGCCCTGTGTAAGAATCACACAGATCTGCACCCTACTTCCTCGCGGTCCCTCCGTCCAATCAAAAAGCAGAGAGTTCTCTTTCTAGGTTTTATGGATGGCTTCAGGGAAGAGGAGTTGTAGTTTTTGTGATCCACCCTGGGGAGGAGAATTTCTGGTTTCTGGGATTCAGTTCAAAAGAGAAAGACAGGGAGGAGACAGGAGGCCAGGGAGAATCAGAGGAAGACTGTTTCTGAGCCCTTCCGGTGTCCTGTAGATCAAAGCACTCCGCAGGCCAAAGCACCAGCCGGGGATGTATCATTTCTCAGCCGCAACACGTACCAAGGAAGCCTACACCAGTAAATAAACCGCAGCTGCACCAACCCCCCAGTGGATCCCCTAAGCCTTATGCTGAGCGAAAGGAAGCAGAGCCCCATGCACTGTCCTCTGAGATCTCATTTATCTGGAGTTCAGGCACGGGCCAGACTAACCCAGGGCAGCGGCAGGAAGCCTCTGCTGGACGGCTGGCGCTCTCTCTCTTTGCTGGGAGCTGTGGTGTGAGTGTTCTCCCTGTGACACAGTCATCCAGCTGCACACCGGTGACTTGCACCCTATTGTGTACTATTTTTCAGGAAAGCAGCTTTTAAAGCCCTTGGGACGTAAGAGTAATTTTGCCCTCAGCACACATGAACATGTTTATTCTTTAGAAGATTTCTATTGCTGAATTATTAATTTTAATTTTATAAGTTTTGTTGTATTAAACAATGACATAACAGGAAAAATATCACAAAAATAAAGTATTAAATATTTAATATGTATTGAGTGTTTATAAAAAGGTATCCAAGTTTTCAATATTGACTGTTTTTTGGAGTTCTAACTCTAAAAAAGAACAACACAAATAAATTCTTTCATGAACTGCCATGAAAATACCAACAGCACTTTACAAAAAAATCTATACTTCAATTATCACATCTAAGACAGTTTACAAACATGACAATAGCATGTTCCATACACGCGTATTGCTTACACTGGCAACGTATATGTGTTACTTTCCTGGCTTTTTTGTAGGACATACTGGACATCGCAGTGTTCTTGCTGTCTTGTCAGGAGGTTCTTATTGTATTATACAGTGCATGGTTAGCCTGAACATAAAATATCATAAAATAAATATTAAATTCTTAATATGCATTGTGCATTTAGAATAAATATCAACATTTTCACATCAGTCATGTACTCACTTACAAACCTAAAAGATAACATCAGAAATAAAAATCTATGTGAGCTACAACGTAAATACAAACAAAAGTCTACTGGAGAAATAAGCTTTGCTTCGACTGTCACATCCAAGGCAGTCTTCACACATGACAACAGTGTGTTCCGTGCACACGTCTCACTTACACTGACAGCACGCGTACTTAGCTTTCCTTTCCTGTGTGGCAGTTTTGTCCCCGCTCTTCCTTTTTTGTCAGGAGCGTCCTACTATACTGTACAACATGCACTTAGCAGAGAAATGAGATATCAATAAAATAAAACATCAACTATGTAATGAGTACCTAGAATGGACATCAACACTTTCATATCAGCTGTTTACTTGCTTACAAAACCTAAAAGATCACATCAAAACTAAAAACCCATGTGAGCTACAATGTAAACACACACAAAATTCTGCCACAGAAATAAGCTTTGCTCAACTGTCACACCCAAGGCAGTCTTCACACGTGACAGCTGCACATTCTATGCGCACGTCTCGCTTGCACTGACAGCACGCATTTTGTTTTCCTGTACGTTCTTGTAGGGCACCGTTGCCATCTTTTTTGTTTTCCTGTTGTCATAATAGATCCTTGTGTTGCTGCTGCACCTGCCTCTTCACCTGTCAGCTCACCAGTGTGGTCCACAACTTTTTTGTGTAGTTCCCTGGGCAGAAACATTTTGTTTTTCCTCTGCTGTAAATGATCTCTTATGAGCTCCAGTCCCAATTCTCCAAGAAAATTTCTCTGTGATATTTTGCACTTGTTATTTTGGTTGTAAACTATCAAACTAGGCCAGGGACATAGCTCAGCAGCACAAGTACCTGCCTGACAAGCACAAGGTCCTGAGTTTGATTCCCAGTACAAAAAAAAATGTCAAATGTAAACTATCAAACTGTTTGTGCCACACAAGTTTAGGATCAAATAAAACACAACCACTGGCCAATGCTCTGTGTTTGAAGTGACGTCATAGTGGCTGCATAACTCACCAAAGTATCTACCCCACCTTTGGTTTTGTTGTTGAAAGTTTCCATCTCAGGCTTCCACTTTGTCATGATTTTCCTATCAATATTTCCATCATGATGAAATGTTGATATCAGCAGTTCCTGTTTGTTTTTCTTTGACATAGATGAGGCCAATGTTGTATCTTTCTGAAAGCCAAAGATCATACTATACAGTCCTCTGCTTTGAAATTGCAACATCACTTTTGGAATTTCTCCTTTTTTTCCTGCATACAGTTCTTGTGCTAGTAGTCAATTTATGCTCTGTTAACAAATGTAACATCAGTTGCAAACGGGTAAACATCACATTCTAATTAGTTTGAGAGATGGGATCAACAAGTCTGTTCACAATATCATGCAGTTCATTACCGTATGAATAAGGACCTGATGGCTGAGTTCCAGGTAAATGTCTAACTTGAAAGCATGATAAGTCTTTGCACCTACAAGGGTATAAATTTTTACACCACATTCTGACCCGTCAATTTTCCGTAAGTCTTTTACATTTCTGAGATCACCATGAGAAATCTGTGCTAAGTACAGCAGACCTATGAATGCTTTCCGTTCAGCTAGTGAAACATCATAATAAACACATTTTTAATATGGCTATTGGTGCATACAAAACATTTTATTTGCATTTCAGAGCATTTCACAGCATCTTGTAGCGTTTCATCCATTACAGTTCCCAACATTGAATGGCAGTGCTGGCATTCTGTCTAATACATTTCACCTCTGCCAAGACTCTCACTGTATTTTAGGAGCTAGTTCTAACACTGGCTCATTCTATGTGGCTGCATGGGCATTTTGTAACATTTTGACTAATCAACTATGTACTCACATTGCTGTTTTCTTTGTCACTTGAATCAAGGAGGTCTACATTCCCTGTGTATCTATCAGTTGATTCTTGCTCCATTTCACTGTCACAGGAACTTCGGCTCCCATGGCCAAGGTCAAAAACGCCATCGTCATTATCATTATCATCATCATCATCACGCCCACACCACTCTTCTATTGTGAAAACAAGGATCATCTTCATCTTTCATGCATGAATAATCTGATGATTCACTTTTGACCCCCTCCAAAACTTGTAAATCTGGTTTTGTATGTACCATTGTACTGA